GTTTGTCATGTTGAGCCATTTAAATTGTTCTTGTTTGATTTGTTCATTGCAAACAGCTGAAAGTTTGTAAATTTTGCCAGTAAACCTAATTTGCAATGGGGGTTGAATAATTTTGATTGAAACTGTATGACAGTGTGGAAAAGAAGATGTGGCTGGAGCCAAAGTGTTGGACAGCCTCTGACTTTGAATCTTTGATGCTCCTTCTCTGTAACTGTAAAAGGGCATAGTCTTTGACCATAAAAACACACTATTCACATGTACCACATTTCAAAAGCACATTTCAGATTGATTGAAACATAAAGACAAGAATGGATTTGAATCTTATTAAGTAACAATCTGGGAGCAAGAAGAGTTCGATACAGATAGCTTTTATGTCCCCGTTATCCATGATGGTGATAACATCATTTTTAAAAAATAGGTTCATTATTTGTCTTTCTTAAATATTTTCCTAAAAGAAAAGAGAACAGGTGTGCCTTCTTAAGATACGGAAAAATAATATCGTCTGTTGTGTATTAAAGAACAACTATTCTAGACAGATCGTGTTTTCTCAAATTATTTTTACAGGCTGAAGACTACAGGCCACCAGCGCAATCTATCGAACTCCCACACAAAGGCAGCAACAAACAGCAGTTTTGGGTTTCTTGTAAAACCACTTTTATATACAGGACCAAATTAGATAATTGAAAGCCATTTCATGTCAGCGGTAATTAATTAATTATGCAGCAAATGTTCCATAAACAGATCATCCATCGTCTACTATGGCTTTTTGCCTCCCAGTCTGCCAAGATAATAACTTATTTAAAGCCGCTATCACACCGGACGCGAAACGAATTTTTCGCTCGACAAATAACATTTAAAAAAAAAAATACGCGAATACACGCAAAACGCGTGTATTCGCGTCTTTGCATTGACTTTGAATGTAATCTGTCGAGCGCAAAATTCGTTTCGCGTCCGGTGTGAAAGCAGCTTAAGAGAGACGAGTAGGAACAACCTGAAGGTCACACATTACAGTCTAAAAAATAGGGGCTCCATTCCATGAATTGAAACTGAATAAAATTTTGTCCCATCACACGAAATTTATCCTCAGTAAATTGGTATGCAAAGCTCGTATACGTGAACATAGATTTTGTGAATTCATTATGCTGCCCAGGCTAGAAAGAGCTGATGCTGTAGGTCTACATATTGAGAATAGGAGAAGTGCTTTCTCTGAAAGTCAAACAACAACCTGTTAACCGTTTCCCTTAGTCCCTCAATGACACAACAGTCAGGTATGTGGGGCACAGTGGGGGCCATCTGCCAGACAGCACTATCAAGGCCAGAGTTCAGGTCCAAACCATTGCCACAATGCTGCGCACAAGATCAATCCTGGGGACACCACGCACAAATTAAAAATATGCAGATGTTTCTATTCTTGTTCCCAGCCCTTTGTACGTACTTCACAAATAAAGATCTGGATAACTGAATTCTCCTGATGCTTTAATGCTGTCGATCCCACTGTTCACTCGTAATGTAGGAACAGATGAGATTCAAGTCACTTTGAACCCAAAATCAAATTTCCGTGCTGCAAGGACAAAGTTTCTATTGTACTTTACAAGAGCAGACTGCTTCGGTCGGTACAGCAGGTACTGAGTGACCTGAAAGGGCCTCGCAGAAGTGGCTCTAACAACAGGGTTTTTTGTTACCTTTAAGTTATTGGTGCTTCTATAAACAGAAGCCTCCCCCAATCCTCCCATGACAGAGGGATTATGTTTGGGATGTCTAGCTGCGATGGGGGAGATGACTTCACCAACAAGAACACAATGCACCCCTTTCTCTGGCCACTCTGAGAGAGGACAATAATACTGAGTGTCTGGGGGGGGGCAGGATGTGATGGACAGCAACCTGGGTGGGCGAGGGGAGGACGTCAATTTGTCCATCTGTATGTCTGCCAGTTGCTTTGATTTTAGCAGCCCCCTCCCCTATGTACCCTCCACTCATCCCCAAACCACCCCTGGCCAGTGGGCTGACTGACAGCTGACGTTAGGTCTTACCTCTGCCTCTGACGTCACCTCTCCGAGGGTCGAAGAGGTTTGTGCTCCTTTATTTAGCACGACCCATCCATTATTCATCCATCGAAAACAATCTCCGGCATCTCTGAGCGAGAGCCTTCTCCAGCATCCTTTAAAATTGGCCAGACTGGCAGCGGGCAGCAGGCTAAGCAACCCTCCCCTCTAACGTCCATCACCCCCCAACCCCCTCCTCTTTATTGTGCCCAATTTTCAAGACGATGCAGAGAGTTTAAGTGCAGAATTTAACTGCAGGCTGTTTCCTTGGTTACATGTGTGCAGGCCAGGACTGAAAGAGGTGGGGAGGGAGTGCGCGTGACGTGGGGCGGCCAGGAGGGGCATTGTGGGGGGAAGGGGGGGGGATGTTTGGTTGATGGGTGTGTTCTGGTAAACACATCAAACACATCTCTCATAAGAAGGTCAGTTGGACCCAGCTCACACAGATTTGGGCTTTTATGAAGCAAGTTAAAAATATTTGCAATATGATTCACTTAATTAGTCCATTGTGAGTGACATTATTGGCCAACCAATTATATATGTATGTGCTATTGAATGGGGGGGGTATTGTCAGTTTGAATGCCAAACGCAATGTGAGTAAATTGCTTTAGTTGAAGATAAGGCCATTTTTCTAGGCAAAGGGCATCCAAATTACACAATGCAGTGATGTCTAACCCTGTTCCTTGCAGAGAAACCATCCAGAGGCTTTTCACTTCAATCCAAACAAAGCACACCTTTGAATTAGGGTTGAGTAAAAACCTAGAGGATAGTAGGTTCCCAGAGCAGTAGGTCTCCTATAACAGGGTTGAAGACCACTGCCATAATGCATTGACTTCGGGTCATTAAGAAGCTTCGGCAATGAGTTTCCAAAAAATGATGATTGCAATCAAAAGGTACATTTCAAAATAAGCAAGTTGATTGCAATGGAGGCATTAATAAACATTTGTAAGGAACATGCCTTTCTAGCCTGCGTCATCTCGTGAACATAAAGAAGCCATCTTTATGCAAGTTTTTCTGTCACTCAAGACATCTAAAATTCACCTCAGTTTCTAGGTTAAAAATGTCTCGCAATACTTTTTTAGCACGGATACCTAGCTGGACAGCTAGCAAATTGAATAAAAAACAGAATAAACAATACGCACAGTCAAGCAATAGCTAGCAGCTCTCTAAAACTGCTTGGACATCTAACCGTGAGTGCTCGAGTTGGCATTGGCAGGACATGTCCTTCAAATAGAGTAGCGATTTGGACATCATGAATGCTTTGATGTAACAGTTGGCGCACAAACAAGGAAGACACATACTTTTCTATGTCCATCTTATAGATGCAACCTATACATGTAAATTCAGAATGGTGGTCACATGTCTCCAGGCACTGCTTCATAGCCACTCAATGCACATCTCCCACTCAATCAGAACTGGTCATTCCACCTAGCTATTACAAGGAGGCACCACAGTAGACAGAAAGTGGCAATCCCAAAATCAACTCCACATGAAGCCCTCAGCATGATACTACTTCAGTCAATCTACCCAATTGTAAAAATGAATATCAACTGCCCTAGATGTGAGTGTCTGTGAAGCCACATAAATAATGTATGATGCAAGTGAGTACCACGCTTCCTAATGATTTAAAATAAATTGTACACAACACTGAAAACAAACCTTCAGTGAGAACAGCGAGTGTGAATGTAAGGCAGAATACGAGATTCATTTAAAAAATTGTGGCCATTAGCTTTGCTTCAAATGTGGTTTCACCTCATTACATTACGGGCTGACTAATTTCCAGTGGTATTGCCGGCCTACAGAACTCTGCTGTGAGAAATTAGAAACAGTCGTCTATTGGATGCGCAAGTGCAACTACTTTGCCTGACATCACTAAATTAATGTGATGAAATACTGACCCTGAGTGGCTTACAGGGAACTCAGAATAGAAAATGGCTGAGAGAAGCAGAGGGCTTTTGCGATATTTGATGACAGAAGATTCTAAAGTTAGTGAACAAACATATGGGTTACATAAAAATGTGCCATTATGAAAGGAGTCTAATCCAGTGAAAAGGTTAGGTTATATTTGGATTAAGCCATTTCCCTAAATAAATGTGATTCAGCTCCAGCACATCGATTAAGCGCAGGAATGACTTCTCGGCAGAGATTAAAGGTCTTGCGTAAACTGCTGAATTTATGTGACAATATTTCCTAGCTTAATACTTCTCATTGTCCGATTTATTAACCCCTGAAGCCATGAGCCTCTTTTTCGAAAATGGCAAGCTCAAAATGAAATGAGTATATCTCTGCAACTATTTGGTCCATTTGAATAATCTTGGTATCATAATAAAGGTAAAACCATTTGGGATTTCTGCCATGGTGTAAAAATCGGTATATATGTCACTGAGTAAGAGTAAATGAAGATGGAACACAGTATAACTCAAAGACCTCATTTTGCACCAAACAAAGTTTTACTTCTATCCCTTGTAAACTTAATTAGCTGCAGCCTGAAACCTCTAAAAATTTACAGCACAGAATCTCACCATTATCCGTGCCAAAATTTATTCTAATCAAGCAAATCAGAGCACAATTAGAGAGGAATGTCTAGGTGGCTTCTCCAAATTGGCAATTCAGGTACCTTGTGTGCCAAATCAGATTTCTCAGATATTAAACTGTAAAACTCACCTAATTTCACTTAAATGTCACTACAGGCATTGATTCCACCCAAATACAACCAGTTTTTCATTTTTAGAACTAGGAAATATTTTTTAATTATTATTTCTGCCAGTCCTATAGCCTATACCATCCCATTCAAAGACAATAAATACAAAGAAAATGATTTATTAAAAAAAAAAAAAAAAGCAAATTAATAAGATTATGAATACAACGGAAAGGTTAAAAATGGAAAAAAGTAAAAAGAACGAAAACCCCCATCAATTATTTATACATGTAAATGTTACCATTGCTACCTAAAAGCACTCCTGATCAGGGATTGAACCCTGGTCACCTGAGTTACAGTCCGTCATCTTAACCACTACGCTACATCAGTTACATCAGCCCTCAGAATTCACACATTTCTGCCAGAAAACGACTTTGAAAACGATGGTTGAATTTTTAGCGAATAATAATACCGAAAATAACACAAACAAACCTGTTAAGCGTTTATATTGTTGCGCTATTTAAGTACATTCAAATGGCCCATGGACTCGGTTTGACACACTGGGAACGCAAGGCTCGAGCTCAGGCTAGCTTTGTGCGATAAAGGTGCTTTAGGGCTCGTTGGAAACGTCAGAAGCCATAGAATCAAATGGCTACCGGCAAAGTCTTAAACCCTAGTCACACTAGCGGCAGAATGAGCCGGAATGCCATCGGAAAGAAAATTCCTGGATATTCAAAGTGCGTTCTAAAAATTCTGACTGCATTTTGAGTGCATTCCAAATATTCGGGCCCGTTCTTGTGGCCGGCCCGAATGTTTTGCTCATGCTCAAAACTTTCCAGGTGCATTCTAAGTGAAGAAATATCGAACGGCATTCGAAGTGTATTCTAACTGCGCTCTGACTGCATTATAAATATTCTTACGGCATTCCAACAGCATTCAAAACATTCTGATTGCATTCGAGAGAGAATTGAAACGGCAAGCCAAGTTAAATCCTGCCAGAATGCGCCTCTAATGAGCCAGAATGCACCTCGAATGCATTTAGACTGAGAAATTATGGTGCATTACTTGGTGAAATATGCAGCAGAGAAGGCTTGATACAATGGATGAATGGGCGAAAATTCTGCTTGGTATCTGAACTGGTGTGTTCAGTGCCAAAACTATCACAACTCTCGTGATTTCCTTGAGTGTCTCTTCGCAAATCAGTAACTTGCATGTCTATTAGGTGTTTGTCTCTTGTACAAACCCCAATTCCAATGAAGTTGGGACGTTGCGTAAAACGTGAATAAAAACAGAATGCAATGATCTGCAGATCTCATAAACCCACATTTTATTCACAATAGAACATAGACCACATATCTGATGTTGAAAGAGAGACACTTTACCATTTCATGAAAAATTTTAGCTCATTTCAAATTTTATGGTGGCATTTTGGTGTATTCATAGACACCAAAAATGCGATTGTACTCCATGTGGTTTCTGAGAAGCAGCTATTTTTTTCATACTAAAAGTAATCTTTGGGCTCAAGGGACTAATATTTCTTCTAAAAATTGTATAAATTGCCCTTAAAGGCAAAGAAAACACTTTTTCCAACTCTTACCCAATAAAAGCACACTGCCCCTACCATGAAAATATATTTTCAGGTGTTTTTTGAAAAAAAAATTTTAATGACTAAATGACCTAGAGAGTATTAGATTTATACATTGTTGGTGGTGCGCCATGGTTGTTGGAATCAAGGTAGCTTTCCACGTCACCCGGACACCGGAACTCTTGAGCACGCGGAGGTTATAAATGAAATAAAACATGGCCACTGTAAGCCTTGAATCCAGTGTTGTGTAACCACTGCCATAACAAGTCAGGCTTCGCCAAGGAAAATCTGCGCAAGCTTATGCCCACGGGTAGGTCCAAGTCTCCCATTTTGTTGGAGCAATCAACAGTCGCAAACAGCGGCATTATGACTGATTTTGCAGTTCAGGTCCTAATAATGATTGATAATATCAAACCTTAATCATTTGGCGTAAAATTAGGGTGCAGTGCAAGTGATAATCTTGCTACTTTGTATAAACCTTATATAGATCAGCCGATTTCCTGATATCCAAGCGCATCATAACATCTGGGACGTTGCAACACACGGTATTTTTTAATTGGCTAAACTATACAGAACAGTGGCATGCATGAACTTGCGCAAATTAGTTGTATTTCAGAGGTTTGAGCTTTGATTACTCGGTACATAAAAACCACAAAAATTCGCCAAAATTATTCATGGAACGAGAAGAACTTACATTTTTTGGGTAAAAGCAGAAAAAGTGTTTTCTTTGCCTTTAAATAACCTATTTTTTTCCATTTTCAGTGCACTCATATAAGAGGCTCACACCAGTATATTCCATATAAATAAAAGTTGCTCAGCGTGAAATATTATTAGGCTAGACCAAGTGAAAATAATTTGCTTGAGAGACCCTCCTCCATTAGTTTCAATAGATTTTAATACGTTTTTTTATAATGTCTGTTCAGCCCCATAGGACTTACTTTTTGGAAATGACTATTGACAAACAGTCCCTCTCTGTCCCTCTGTCCTCTCTCTCTTTCTCTGTCTCTCGCTCTCTCCCTTTCTCTCTCACGCGCACGCGCACACACACATATACGCACACACGGACAAAGTGGGGGAAAGAGAAAGAGACAGTCACATTTACACATATCTCTGATTGACTTGTATAAAAAATGGAAGAGAAAAAGAGAAAACTAACAGCAAACAGAGAAGCCGTTGTTATGTCTGGCAAACCCGTTGGAATAACTTATCTGAACTTTTGACCCAGTGCTGAGTGAACTTTTCTCATAGCAATCTTGCAGACAGTCAAGACATAGAGAAGAGGACTGATGGAGAGAAAACAGCTCATCTCAAGAAAATATACAATTTACAGTGAGTGAATAAGTATATCCAGTCAGAGAATATCGATATGGCTGACATTTACCTAGATCCATCCAACACTGAGAGTGCAGATAGTGCTGACATAGAGCTGACAGTGGGATCTTCTCACATTCAGAAGGGAAGGGTGTACATGTGAAAGTACTCTGCCCATCAAGCAGAGGTTTCAAGGCCCATGAGTACACAAACACAAGTGAACTGAAAGAGTCAGTGAGTCTATAATGACAGAGGTCACTACCCTGCGTGCTACACCTAACAAAACCACTGTGCTAATTGCCACAAGCAGGCACCTGTATCCTGCCTAAACTATTGAGTCCCACCTCAAATTCAATACAAGGAATTTGAGAAGTGAGGGACACAGGGTTATAATTCCAGCTAGTCACTTTATGGCCGTTATATCGAGGGCTGACTGCAATAAAGTTATGTCCAATATATAACATCTGGACATAAATGTTTATTGCAGTCAGCCCTCGATACACGCCATGTATTTGTGATTTTTTTTTTTTTTGTAATAGTAATAACATGGAAAAATCACTTCATTCACCAATAACCGAAGTCAATAACTGTTTTATTATATGTCCATACTTAAAAGTATAAAATAAGAGAAGGGTGACAACTGAAACGCAAAGCTCCTCATAGGGACAAAACCACACAAAACACGGACACTGTCAGGAGCTCTTGCGGGGAAGCCTAATCTATTTTTAACTCGTAGTCGTCGTATTGTTATATTCACCTCTAACGCACTGTCGCGCGGAGAATTTCACTGTTTAAAGTAACCGGCGGAGGTTGCCTGGACCAATCAAGAGAGAGCAAATCCTTACATTATATAATAATGCAATTCATTTTTTTTCATACAGGTCTTGCATGTACTTTGAGTTTGAAGTTCTTTCTCTTATAGTGTACAATATACTTAATACATCACATGATATGCACCACGCATTTGTGAGGCATGATGATAATCGATAAAGCAACTAGTTGCATTTCCATACAGGTATTGTATGTATTTTGACATTTAAGTTTTTCCTGTTACGACAGAACAATATAAAATACAGTATATCCAATAGTAGTTCTAGGACAATAGGTAGTTCTTGGACACAGGTCTTCAATTCACTTTTCAACTTCCAGCAAAATAAATATGTAACTTAATATTCTCCTTCGGGAAGAGTGGAAGCAGTGACCTTTGACCCCTGACCCCAGAGCGACAGGAAACCATTATCCAGTGCTCCAGACTTCTGCTTTTTTAACCTGCCTAATCATAAGTTGCATCAAAACCTGCAACCCATGATTATGTGTGCCATGGCACTAGGCATGCTAGGAAAAGGTACGAGCTGTCCTCTCTCGAACCCGGTTTCCAGGAAAGGCACAGGTGGGGAAATGTTTGAGGAAATGATCGCAATCTCAGTTCTCAGCATGTGACAGCCAGCAGCTGTGTCATTTGAAGCGTGTCAGCCGCACGACGACACGTGGCAGGAAAAAAAAAAAAAAAATCTGCAGTGACAAACGTCTCTCTGTGCAAGTTACCAGGACTCTGATTTACGTAGGTCGGGTTAGGCATGAACTGAGAGGAGAGCACGTCCGCAATAAACAGAGCGCATCAGCCACGTCATGGTTGCCCACCTGATCCGAATAACCAGTGCTTTGTCTCTAGACAGCTCTCTCACCATCACTCATTTCCTTCTGGCCTCCTGACAGTTATATTTTGCTTTTGATGTGTGAATAAAAATTTTGAACGATCAATATGCCACTAAGAGAATCACAGCCTTGCAAACCCCTGCGTTTGCACAACAATGTTGACCGTGCCTTCATTGCAACAATACATCAGATGTTACATGCCAGCAGTAAAGTACGGTTCCTCTCACAAATACTTTCTGAAGTGAATCAAGACCGTAAAGTTGTGATGAGTGGCGCATATCAGCAAGCAAATATCTCAATATTTCATTCATGAAAACACAGTGAAAACACAGTACATTAATACCATGTCTTCTCCTCTACCATGTAATAGTGGAAGGATGGTACATTCAGATGATAATTCAGGGAAGGATGTCGGGCCCTAGGAGGCAGGGAGTAGAGCTACGACACGTATTGCATTAGGTCAAAACAAACAGGATAATAACACACATTTCAGCACCACTTGCTTAGAAAGGCTGATTAAAGTGAAACATACAGGCAAGACGTGTGGCATTCTAGAGCAATTTATAAAGCTTTCGGATAACCAACTTAACTTCCAGAAAAGTGGATATTTCTCCCTTAACTCTATTGCTGAGAAGGCTTCGCCAGACTCTTTCCCTTTAGAAGGTCACAAAAGGTTTCAGATACCTAAGAATTTTCAGTACATCATCATTTACAGAGCTCTTTGCTAAAAGTTTCTGCTCATTATAAGACTGCTGTAAATTTGATTTAGCTAGATGGTTCACTCTCCCTCGAACTCTATAGGAGCGCATTAATCTGAAAAAATTGAGGTGCTATCCCA